AAATTAAATAAATAAATAAATTAAATAAATAAATAAATAAATAAATAATAATAATAATAATAATATATAATTGTTGAAACAGACACCCAAACAACACAATAACAATAACAACAATAACATACCAATATAATTTCATAAGTTGGGTCTAAAAAGGATAGAGTATTATACGCAGACCTTACACCTAGCTGGTGAGGTAGAGAGGCAACTCAAACGACATAAGAAGTGTAAAATTTAAGCAAATGGAGAAAAGACGTCCTAACTAGAGCACAGAGTAGCCACGGCTAGCAAAGGTGATTTCCTACGGACAGTGAGGCTACTAGTTTCAGTCATATCCAAATCCTCCTCTCTTAATCCTTCTGGTAATGCAAAATTGAACTTGTGTACAAGCTTTGCCAATGCCAACTCAATCACAAAAACAGCAAAAGTTCTTCCCGGGCAGCCCCTTCTGCCTGCTCCGAAGGGAATCCATTCAAAGTTTAGTCCTTTGACGTAAATATTACTATTCAAGAACCTCTCTGGCCGGTACTCCTCTGGATCATCCCACGACAACAGATCTCTTCCGATTGCCCAAGCATTAATTATGACTTGAGTTTTAGCAGGTATGTCATAGCCTAGTAATTTTACGTCTTCTGTTAATTCTCGAGGAATTAGTAGCGGAAACGGTGGATGAAGTCTGAGACTCTCCTTGATCGCTGCTTGCAGGTACTGCATATTTCCCAAGTCATCCTCTGTTATCTCCGATTTCCCTTGGGCTAATCCTCGCACTTCATTCTGTAATGTTTCGATAGCTCTTGGATGCCTCAAAAGCTCAGTCATTATCCACTCTAGAGCTGTATATGTTGAATCCGTACCCGCAGCAAACGCATCCTATGCATTAGCCAGAAACACAAAAGAAAAACAAAACAAGCCCGACCTTGTAAGTTAGTACTAACAATAGGGGATGATGAACGCAAAAAAGTACTTGGTGTTGTCTCACCACCATTTTCTTCTCGAATTGATGTTGCGATAGTAATTATTTTACACATAAAAGTAATACACATTTCAGTAAACCTGATCTGTCACCAAAGGGTGATAGATTGTTATGTTGAATTAAATAATGCATAGATGACTAGGTATGTGGGAGTACGAGATGCTTACCAAGAGGATAGCTTTCAATGAATCTCTTTGAATAGGAAAGCCTGTTTCCTTTCCGTTCTGAATTTCAAGCAAAACGTCCACGAAGTCTTTAGCTTCACTCTCGTGGTATTCTTCTTTCTTGTTCCTACTCATGTGTTCTTCAATCACTATTTCTAAAAATGCGTCCAACTCTTTAGCTACTTTCTCTACTCTGATGTCTAGGCCACTGATTTTATTGAGCCATTCAAGCCATGGAATATAATCCCCAACGCTAAAAACACCTAGAAGTTCAAGAAGCTGTTCCAGGGTGGCCTTAGCATTCATCCCACTTTCCCCTTCATTATATTTCCTCCCTAAGGCCACTCTGCTAATTATGTTATTAGTCAAAGAACAAAATAGATCTCTCAAATCTATCACTGAACTCGAAGAATCACATCCTTGCCTGATTTTTGCAATCATGTTGGCAGTTTCTTTTTCTCTGACATCACGAAAAGATTGGACTCTTTTATTGCTGAGAAGGTGAAGCACAGTAATACTTTTTACTTGCCTCCAGTATTCACCAAAAGGACTAAAGCCCACATCCTTGGAGCCATAAAATAGTCTATCGGCGATGCTGGATTTAGGTCTGCTTGACCAGACGAGGTCGTGGGTTCTCATGATATCACGAGCAGCATGAATAGAGGAAGCAACAACCACTGGCTTACTGCCCAAGTGAAGTAGCATGACTGGACCATGTTTTTCTGATAGTTTATGGAGAGAGCGGTGAGGATGCGACCCAAGTTGATGCAAATTTCCAAGTTGATGCGACCCATGTCCTATGCCGCGATTACCTTCTCTCTGTGCAGTTGTGCTCTATCTTTTTGAAAGTTTCGTCTGCAATAAATAGACAAACTTCCATACTCAGGTACTTTAATTCAATGAAATAACACATTTTTAGGGTGTATGTAGAATTAATTTCTGATTCTCGATTAGCTTACAAAACAAATAAGAAAATTCTTCAAACTTAGTTTAAACACTTGAAAATCCAACATTTTCGGTAAATAAAACAAAGACAAACGGAGAACTCTGCTTCGTTTACATAGAGGTTGTGGCTTTCTAAGATGATTATGGCTAGTTTTCACGTGAAAACCAATATATGTGTCAATGTCTGTGATTAGTTCAAACAAATCATGGAGATATCATTTTATACATAACTATCAAGGATGTACCAAATCTTTGTCAAGATTATGAGCATCTCTTTCAATTTTTTAGAAAAATCTAATCTTTTACGTGAGGCATTGGGTGATGAAAACTTTTCGTCTGTTCTGTTACAAAAATAGAGATACAGCTTCTTGTTGAATTATTGAATATTGATCCCTCTGTAGACGCTAACTTGCTAGTCTGGTCCATGAATACTAATTTGTATTAAAAAATAAACATAATTGGGATCAGTCACGTATT